TCAGCAGGATGTTGACTCAGGGCCAAATGACGACTGTTTAATAACATATTGGCGTTGTCAGTCTTCCACTGCTGATAATTTCTGTGGGAACATTGAGTGTGTACTCTGATACAGCAGTTGGACATTGGCATGGCAGGCTGGGTGGATCCAGTTTTTCTCCTACTCACATCCTCCTTCCCACACCAGCTATGAGCTCTAATCATAAAGCGTGTAGGTTTATTCTGGCGGTTCCAAGCTGAGGTTTGCTGGGGGAATATGCCAACATTTCTGGCAAAATGAGGCTAATAGCTTTTTTGGTCTCATCTCTTAGGTCACTATGAAGACTGAACCCTGAAGGTAGACTAAACCCTTGTCTGTCATGGGGTGTTGTGCAATTGTGAGTGGGGTCATCAGATCAGGGAGCAGAACAGTCAGCATGGGGGCTTTTCATGCTCCTTCTATGATCGTCCCATCCCTTCTCAGACTACTAATGCCATGCTTCATCCAGCCCTTCTGCACTAAGAGTAGGGTGCTTGCATCAGCATGGGACTCCTTGCAGCAGAGCCCTACTGCTTCTGCTTGCTTCCCAGGGCCCTTGAGGAAACAGGATCGGAACTGGTTTCCAAGACAGTAGCAGAAATTTTGGAACAAGTAGCAGACTCTTAACAAGGCCTCTGGCCTTTCTTCAGGCCAGTGCAGCAAGAAGTCATGCGCTTAGGCAAAACCTTGCCACTCTTTTCGTGCCAGGCACAAAACTCCACACACTTAAAATAAATGTGGAATTAAAACGGTCTTAAATGCATGATCTGACTTGGTTCAACAGGGAGCTGCATGTTCAAGCAGCTTGGAGGAGCCTATAATCCTTCCTCCCGTGTGGGCTAAAGCCACAGAGAAAATAAGCAGTTGGATTCTGTGGGGGAAAAAATGTGGCTGAACATTCTTGCCTGCTGAATGGTGGTGGTATTGTAAAATGGAAGTGGCTGGAGTGCCTGTGGTGTTCTGGGCTCCTGCAGAATAATAGGAATACTGCAACAGCTCCCCGCAGAGGTAGGAGCCTTTTTGGCATGCACAAATTTTCCATGACTTTGGGGAGAGCCTTTGGAAGTACAAAATGATAGGTATGGGCCTTTTCAGCTGCCCGCTTCACGTTCACTGCAGTGAGGGAAGGAGCTGCCTGCCTGCTCTGGATTTGAAGCAATGTCCCTGGTGATCTGGTTACTTCAGTGTGTCCGCCTTCCAGGGTCGGTGGAGGGAGAGAGTTAAACCACAGAGTAAAAACCAAACCAAACCAAACCAAACCAAAAAACTTTCAAGAGTGGAGAGAAAATGGTGTTATTTCCCACCAACCACCTCCGCACAGACTGCTGACTTTGCTGACTGAAGAGGGAACCCAGCCTTGAAGTTAGTCTAGAGGAATTGTCTAGGAGACACAGGAGGTCCGTATCAAAGTCAGGTATTAGCCCAAGATCCTTAAGCCAGTCTCACGCACTTCCCACATCTGTTAAACTGCCTTCTTAGTTGTTGCGTTCTCTCTGTTTCTGTGACTAAGGTTGTTCTTACTTTAAGTCTTGTTGTCCTGACAGCACCACCTACTTGAGTACATATGCAGCCCTGACTTGTTCAGTTGCTTTCTCTGATTGTAGCTCCCTTCTCCATCCATGGTTGTGTTTTTCATCTCCTGCACAGGGATATATTTCCATTCCTAAAGGCGTGCTAGCAGATTCGGGGTATTCAAAAACCACTTATGTTCCTAAGACTGCAGTGTCCATGCAGTCCCTGTAAGCCTCTGATTCAGCTAGGCAGACACACACCTCTCCCCCACCCTCAAATGACTTTGTTTCACATTCTGCGCCAGAATGGCCTTTTGGAGCTATTCCTGGCAAAAATGCAGCTCATCTAGGCTCTCTTTATGATACTCAGTAAGACGTGTCCTGCTGCTACCTATTCTGTGGCTGCTTCCATGTCTCTGTGCTACCCCTGCAGTATGCTCTCTGCTGTTGTGGTTTTCAGGCAAAAGAGCTAGCAGTTAAATACGAGTATAAAAATAAAGGAGCTGTCTCATAGCTGAAAGTGATCTCCAGGAGCATGCAGGCTGCCCTATTTGCTTTTTTCCTCAGCATGACCATTCATTCCACAGTCAGCTGCAGCGCAGTATAAAACAGTAACCCAACCCCGGGTCTCAGGGAATGTTTGTTCCGAGGGGCCATGTAATGGCTTCAGCTCTGAGGCTGAAAGGTGATGTGGAAGGCAGCTGTGATTAACGTAGTACTCTCCATGGCCAATACGCCAGCGCCGATGGAGGATGTGTCTTGTGTAAAGGCCTTTTCAAGAGCAGGATTTTGCTTTTTTAAATACTTCCTTTTATAATCACAATACCTTATTTTCTTCTGGCTGGCTCTGATATAAGACTTTCTCACTCCTGCCTCTCATATTTATAAAGAAGATCAGTTTCTCCGCTGAACTCAAGAGGAAACGGAGGCACAAAGGAACAACATGGTTTACTCTATATTACTAATTATAGTGAGGATGGAGGAAGAAGCAGAAGCCAGGTCTCCTGAGTGTCCCACAAATGTGGCTCTGCTTTCCTGAGTCAGAGTAACGGTCCAGTGGAGTGTTCTGCTGTACCACAGCATGAAGTGTTGGGATTGCGCCTGCTCGCACTGAAGTCGAGAGCAAAACTTCAGCTGGCGCATTCATGGTGCAGGGTCAGTGCCATTTATGTTCCAGTAAAATTAGTTCATATTTATTATTGTAATTACAAAGGTTAAGGCTCTTCCATTTCACTGGAAGTCTATTTAACAAGCTAACATACTGTGCAGGCAAGCTTTGCCAAGTATTTATCCTGAATTTTCCTTTTTCTAGTGTTCTCTTACTGTTCATTAAGCAGAAGAAGCCGTAGAGAGGGGAGCAGTGATTGTGGCAGGGAGGAAGAGGCTGGGGGAGGAGCACGTTTGCAGATGGTGTGGCACCCAGAAGATGTGGGCCAGAGAAGGAGGCAAGCAGATCACAAAGCAGGAACAGAGGGAAATAACAGCTACCAAAAACCATTACTCCTCTTGGAGTCAGTAATAACACTTACAGAGGGCTCAGTGGAAGCAGAATTCAGTCAGATGAAGCCATGCGGACACCTCTCAGTTTATCTCTGGAACCAGTGCCAGGGTCAGTGCAGACATAGTGTGTCTACCTGGGCTTGGGTCCCAGAGGGGGGCCAGTTGGGATTACAGGGTAGGAGACAGTGATGTTGCTGCAGCTGTCTTGGGTCAGTCACAATACTGAGTGCACCACCCCCGTGGGACAGCTCAGTTCAGGGCAGGGCACTGTCTCTCCATCTTATGATAAAGCACCCTTTGCTTTGGTGGGTGAGAAGTGTCCTTTGGCAGTGTTCCTTATAGTGTGGAGGCACAGACTGTGCTTCTCCCTCTAGGATACAAGAAGAAAGTTTGAGAACTGTTGTCACAGACACTTCTCTCCAGCTTGATCCATTGCCATTTGCCAGCAGCTTTCAATCAGTGCAGCAGTGTTCCTGTCTCAGTCAGTGTGAGTCGATATTTATAGCAGGCTTTTATGAAGCACAGTATCAAATGCCTGACTGAAATGCAGAGGCACTGCCCTACTGCCTTCACTAATTTTGTATCTCTGTCAGAGGAGCTATAGCCTTTATAATCCCATTAGGTGAAATCTTGATCCCATTAAAGTCGTCAGTGAGACTCCCTTTGACTTCTTTGAGGCTAGGACTTTCCCCAGGATTGACCCACAGTTCGGTCATCCTGGGTAGTTCTAGAACGAGGCAGGGTGATGCTCACTGAAACCTCACACTGAGCAGTGGTACAGCTGAATGTCATCCTGAGTGTGTAAGGCCCACAGCCAGGGTAATTTGCTGTAGCTCCTAGTAACTGACTGCATTGAAAGCATGCTGGTTTACCTGAGCTGCAGGGGCTTTTCAGTTATTACTGGTGCTGTTATTTTACTGCCAGGCGTAGCAAAGTTAGATTAGCAGTATGGTAATTATTAGAGTGTATCTCTTTCAAGAAAGCCAGTTCTCCAGCAATTTAGCAGTGCATTGGTACTTTAAGATGGGCACAGTTTTCACTAATACAATACATCCAGCAATGATTATGTTCTCTGACTGCTTCCCCAAATACACCACAAAGCGTATTGTCTGTGGTGGGCTTCTTTGTACAATTTCCAATTACTTTACTTTCTGTGTGTCCTTAGTTAATTTTAAGGGACTTTCATCTCTGTAGTCTCCGTCTTTCTGTATTCACCTTTCAGATTTTTTTTAGTTGAAGTAATCTGGCTTCTCTGGCTGGAGGACCCTGCTTTCCCTGCTCTTCAGCTCTGATAACTGGTCTCAGATACTGTAGCTGTATCTTTCTCTGGCAGTGTTTTTTGTCTACCCTGAGGTCTGCAAAAAGTATCTAAGTGAAGGAAGCCTGTATCTGGCTGGTGAAAACTGCTATGTAGAGCTCCACATCTTTTCTGAAAAATTGTTAAGAATCTACAAATTCAGAAGGACTGAAACCACTGGTCTGTGTGCATGCATTCCAGGAAAAAATGTATGCAGGGGACATAAGTGCTTCTCCTTGCTAGGATGAGCACTTTGAATCAACATATGCAGTTACAACATTCTCTAGTGGTACTTTAACATTAAACGTCTGGTTAGCTTTTCTGAAGAGACAATCTGACAACCTGCTATGCTCTGCTGATTAGAAGACACTGCTGTTTAACTTAAGTAGATCTTTGATCCCAAATCTCATGGAGCCACTGACTTTAATGCCCATTTGTCCCCATTTGTAAATCTGTTGCATGTACTCCAGAATTTCACTAAGTCATCGTGTACTGAGTATCGTACTGCACAGGTAGTTATCTGCCTTCAAGATATAAACTGCTTCCTTAATGCTGTAAGCAGCATGCTCTCTGTCACCCTGTCTTGGAGTGTATGACATTTAGTACAGCAGATTGCTCCTGAGCAGAAAGGAAGCAGTACTTAGCTGGAAATGCTACACCTATTTATATTCTTTATTTCCCAACAATTGTCTTTTATTACTATTATTTTTTTAAATCAATATCCTGCAGTTTTCAGAAAAGTTAAGTGGTTCTGTGTTGTACACCGCAAGCTGCTGCCCAAACGTATCGTTTTGTTACGCGCCTCAGGTGGTGGCTTGCCAGCTGTTTCAGGCTCATGAAAGGGGGAAGTACAATTCATTAAAAATAAATAAATAGTGAATTACAAGCCAAAAATCAGTAAGCAGAGAGTGGGCCTCGCCCAGCGTTCTCTGGGCAGCTCCTGTTGACTTCACCAAGAGTTTTGTTTCAATAAAAACTAAGCAAATGTTGAGTAAGGATTTTAGAATTTACCTCCTGCTCTGCCTGTATCAGTATTGCTACAAACACCTGCTCTGTCCTGAAATATCGTTATATAAGAGGTTTTCTGAAGAGCTCCAAATTCTAAATTCAGATATCTCCAAAATGAATGGCCCATCTCAGTACCAGCACAAAGCTCAAAAGGGGTGATGTAGGGCAACTGGGCTCTTCTTTTGTGCAGGTTTATTTTGCACAGTTTTTGTTAGGAACATGCCGCAGACGTGAGACAAGCCACAGAGTTGAAATCCAAACCAGACCTGGATTTCAAACGTCGCTTCAGATCAGGGGTTACTGGACCAGTCACGAAATCATTTGGTTTCAGAATTGACCGATGTGGTCTGTTTAATCGCTGTGGCATGTGCAATGAACGATATGGTGAACTATATACCTTCTGGCTCAACTAGTAAAAGACCTGGATAAAACTCTACATAGCATCATTACTCTTTACTACACTAGTCCTAAAATCTCCCAAATATGTGATATTGTTCCTTCTGTCTAGGCAGGCAATGTGGTGACAGGAGAGATGGTAGAAGAACTTATTCTTTCTGGAGCAGATATTATTAAAGTGGGTATTGGACCAGGTAAGTCAAATCCAGGGTGACTTATGGTAAAGTTGTTGGAGCAATTGTCCAGATGGAATAGGTGTATAATGCTGAGCTGTTTGCTTGTGCACGAGGGTGCCTAGAACCACTCAGGTTAATGGAGTAACAGTGCCCTTGCCCGTAGTGTATTTGAGAAATACATGGGTGTGTGGTAGTTGTACATATTGCAAAGCTGTACTTGGAAGTGAAGATGCATATATCGTTGGAAGTACTGGGTTGCTGACATGATCAGTGATAATGTGTTGCGTTTAGGAACGATGCCTTTCCAACCTGTTAAAAAAAAGACTGAGTCAGCCCAGCTAAAGTTTAACTCATGCTCTGTTCAAGGTATCCACTTCTACTTTGGTGAAAGGAAAGACAGGTTTCTAAATAGCTTTATGATTTGTGTCCTGTTAAGATGAGATTGCCTGCCTTGTCAATGGCTTTAAGGTTGAAAGGCCATGAAGGACGTGTGAAGTATGGACAATATTGCCCCTACTCATTACTATCGCCTGGGAGCTCCAATACTAATGCTCTTATACGTTATTTATCACTGTAACATTCCTACAAATGGGAGGACTCTAAACTTCATACAGTCTTTTTCTTGCCTTTCCTTCCCTAATACTGCTGTCTGGCTTATACTGTTAAGAGTGTCTTTCCTTTTCTTCTTTCCCATCCCTGTCTGTCTGCTCGTGTGCTCCTTCCTCTGGCCACTTTCTTCATAGACTACAGCTAGGGTCAATACGTGTGGGCTAGATTTAAACTAGTCAGCACAAGCGCCACTGACAGTATAGCTGTGATCAGCCAGTGCAGCGCAGGCAGATTGTTTACTGCATGTTTCTAAGTGCTTATGGTCCATGAATGGATAAATTGAGCATGGCAAATGATGTAGTGAAGGTTGCAGTTATGCCCAGGAAGACAGTAAACAACAATAAATACTGCAAAATACTGGAAGAGTAAACAGCAGAGATGCTGTGGTGTGTTCGTCACAGGAAAGTTCAGATATAAAAGAAGAAATATTATACTCTGCAGTCACAAATTGGAAGCAATTAGTAGTAAATGCAGCGTAGAGTCCTCCCTGGGAACTTGCCAGAACAGATCTTCACAGGACAAAGAGCAAAAAAAAGCAAAGATAACAAACGTTCCTCACAAAAGACCAAATTTTGAATCTCCCTCTCTCTCAGACAATGATGCCTTCTGTGGAAAAAGTGAGTGATTTATTATAAAGCATTAGGCATTTAAGTACTTACTTACTTGCTTTAAAATTAATTTTTTTTCCTTCTTTGCAGGAATATTTCTCAGTGTTTACACTTTGCCAGCTCTTTGAAAGATAACTGAAAACTTTTACTTTACAAATAGTTGAAGTATACCTGAATATCAGCTGGGTAAAGGGATCCAAACTTCACTACATTTAATCTAAAATCTCTTCTGAATTTTTTATTACCATGTAGAATGCTATGATCTCTGTCCTAAATCATAAGACCTCAGATTGTCATAAAAGGGTTTTCATTTTGACTGTTAATTTGAGGGGAAAATAGAGAAGGCATTTCAAAAGATCTAAAGCCATGTTAAACTGGCATTGTAATGTTTGATATACATACACGTGTGTGTGTGTGTGTGTGTGTGTATACACTTTATATATATGCACACCATTTATATATATAAAAAATATAGTTTTAGTAGATAATGTATTTTATTGTAATGTGACGCTATATAGCTTTCTGTTGATTATTTATCTTACTTTTTAAATACTATGCACTGGTTTTCTTATATTCTCAACTACTATTTCTTATATTCTCAACTACTGCGGTCAACCACATGTTTCTGCTTTAAGTGTTAAGCAAAAATTGGTTTCTCTCCCCCATGGAAAATTTACAAAAAAAAAAAAAAAACACAGATGTTCCCAGGGAATTATTTTAAAAATATCTGTAGAAAAGAGATAACTAGAAATATTTCTTTATTGGAAGAAATATTCAGATTTAAAAAAAGCTGAACCTCATTGAAGTTGTGACTCTGGTCCCTTTGCCCCCCTTCTCTTCAGGCATCTCAGTTGGACTTCCTCTCCCGTGATGCAGTAACTCCCTCACCAGGAAGCATTACGGATGAGACCTAAACTGGGTGTTCTGGCCCTGGAGAAGAAGGGGGGTATTAGTCACCTGAATTACAACTCTCATGAATTGGTATGACAGCATTTCAAAACCAAAGTTTCTCTGTGTTCCTTTTGTCCATAAGAAGCTGACATTTGCAATAGAGACTTACTGGGTGGGAAAAAATAATACAGATAGATAGAAACACAGTTTTTCCACAAGAAAAAGAAAACAATCTATTTCCTTTCTGCCGGCCTAACTGGTTAAGTTTTTTTTTTTTCATTCTCTTGTCTAGGTTCTGTGTGCACCACTCGTGTTAAGACAGGCGTGGGCTATCCACAGCTGAGTGCTGTTATTGAGTGTGCAGACTCTGCACATGGCTTGAAAGGACATATCATTTCTGTAAGTAATTATCATCTGCTCTCAGATTCACACTGGGCAAATTGTTGTGGAACAGGAGAATCAAACAGTCCAGTACTGTCTGCGTGCTAAAGGTTATCCTTCTGTCATCTCCGGTTGACCCCTGTACTCGCTCTTAAGACAGTGGAGATGTAACCATAAAGAATAACCCACTCCTCCTATGTAAATAGAGAGATATAAATACTGAAAAAGACTTGGGCACCTTACTCCTATGTGTGCCTTTGGAAAGCTCCTTCTTAGCCCGTGAATGGAACAGAGTACGTTGCTGTGTGAACAGAATAGGAAGCATGACAGTGTTTTCATGCCAAGGCAGACAGTACTTCCTCTGAGAGATTTCTGAAAAATGAGTGAAAGTTAAACATGGCTCCCCTCAGAGAGTGGAACTGAGGGACAGGGTAGGCAGTAGAGGGGAGTACAAGGTAAAATGATATGTGCCCATCTATGTCCTTGTAGGTGGATGGATTCAGATGGCGTTCTAACAGAGCTCTCTTTGCAGAAGTAGGAGTGTTTGAGAGGTGGCTCTGTTGAGCACAGCTGGCGCACAAGCTGCTGCTGTTCTCACACAGCTCTGGGGAAATAATGAGCCTATGGAAAAATGAGGGTATGTTTTTATTTCTGCTCATGTCAGTTTCCTGTCCACCAGGAGGACCAAGCTTATCTCTTATACAGGAAGTAAATCTGTAAGCATGACCTCAGACCAAGCTAGATCACAACCTACAGCACCCAAAGGTCTTGTGTGCTTACACATGCCTAACTGATCTGTGTACCACCACAGAGGTTTGCACAGTCGGTCTGCAGGCTGCTTGTTAGGCAGCAAGTAACTGGGAAGGCACAGGGGCCATCCAGTGTGCTGTGCTTGCAGCTGCCCTCAGCCAACAGGTCTCCCACTGTGGCCCTAGGTGGGCTCACACACTGAATTTTGGATCTACTGCCAAGTGACATCACTGGAAGGCTCTGATTTGTTCAACCCAGTTGTGACTTGTTATCCTTGTGAGGAAGTGTATGTGCTGCAGAGGAAGGAGGGAAGAGGATTAAAAAAATGACTGGGGAAGGCAAAGGAACATGAAATGTTCTGATGGGAAAGGGTCTGATTTTATTTCTTGGAACTGTGGGTATAATGCAGCAGGGAAATAAGTATGTATTACAGTTGGAGCTCTCTTGCTCTTTATTGTTCATACATACGTATTCCCTTCTCTTCCTGATTCCCCTATATTACTTGGGTAGTGTTATGAATGTTTATGCCTGTAGCAGACAGTAGAACATGTATGCAGTACAGCATGAAAGACCTGCTCTTTACTATGAAGGGTTGGTAACTGTAGGTGCCATCCTAACAGTGACTCTGAGACCCATCCTGGTTTTACAATAACCATTTTTCTGCTAGCAACTTTCAGAAGAATGTTAATACCCTGATTTCCCAAGAAAACAAGTAGCTGTCTGCCTGTCTGCCAGTGGCCCTAGATGCAAGAGGGGGAAATAAAGCTAGCAGATATTATGACCCTACAGTGAGCCTGTGCAGCTCTGGGGCTCCATCTGATCTTTGAGACCGTTTCCTTGAAGTGCCAGGAGCCAAGATACACAGTGTTCTGCAGCTTTGGCAGCTAAGAGGTGGTGGTCAGATTGCTAGTCAGCATATGTGTACCAGCAGACATACCAGCTAGCCGGTGTTCGCACACCAGTGAGTAACCTTCAGGTTAATCGCAATATTTATTTTCTCTTACCCAGCCGGCACACCAAGAGGGATGGCTAGACAGGCACATGAAGGTGGGTATCGCAGTGGCCATTCTAAGGAAGACCGACAAGGGAGACCCACAAGGGAGTTTACTGCAGTTCTAAAATACCTAGGCTCATAGGAAAGCAAGTATCGTTAAATCTGCTGCTCACAGACCTGAAAGTTTGGTTTTTTTTTTTTAATGCAGATGGGTCAGAAACGGGAATTAGATCAGTATTTCCCCCTGCTTTGGGGATCAGACCCAGGGTGTTTGTAGGGTGTGAGATCCAATGCTGCTTGTGCCTATTGGAGAGTAAGCAAAAAGACCCACCATCCCTTTTTCCTCACTTGAATCTCTCACGCCGAAATTGCTGGAGAGATTACAGTTGCTGAGAAAGTAATGCTGAAGAGGAATTGCTCTTCATGCTCATTCCAAGGAGAGTTGCCTTTGCTCAGAAACCATTGAAATGGAGCTATCTGGGAGGATAGGAAGGAACTATTCACAAGCATTTTAATACTTTAATTTCAAGGATATTGCAGTACAACTGAGGTGAGAAGAGCGCTTGGATCAAAGTTAGGATCAGTGAAACTGTGGGATTCCATATTTACAAATCCTTTCACTGATCTCAAGCTTGAAAACGCCCTCTTAAATTACTTTGATACGCAGCTTTTGTTGTGGCTGCTCACTCTGAACGCTTCTGCTATGCACCTCCCAACTCTTGAACTGTTGCCATTAAGAAAGTTGAACTGAACAGGTAGTTTTTTGATAATGTGCTTTTGAGCTCCATCCTGATGGCACCTGTGCATTTTAGCCATGCTGTACATTACTGAATGTTTTGCAACTTCTGGCCACAGAAAATGGCTTTCCTTACTGTGGTTCTTTCTGTCCCTTACCCACCAAAAGGGAAGGGATGACTTTTTTTTTTTTGTGAGGGGGGGGGGGGGAAAAAAAAAAAAGTGAGTCAAGGAAGTGCCTTTTCATCCTGATGGTGGGTTAGTTTGTTGCAAGTGTAACCTTTTTGTTGGAAATAAGTTCTGAACCCCTGTAGCATGGATCTTGATCCTAGACACACATCCCTAACATAGCGTGTGTTTAGACTGTTAAAAAAAAAAAAGGAGATGATTCTGTGGTGTTCCTCCTCTTATGCTTTGGGGATGGATCAATTGCTGACCTGCCTAGGTTGTCAGGCTCAGTGAGCTCACACCTAAGAAACCTCTAGGCATTCCAGGAGGAGTATAGAAGTGCAGTTTAATACCTGTCTGCTACCGCATCTGGACAAAGAAAATGATGTTCGGCTGTAAGTGGGGTCTCTTACAACACTGCAGCTCACCTCTCTCAAGAGGGAGACTAGAGCAAGGCTGAGGATCTTTTGCCTGGATTCTGCAGCAGATGGGCATTGGTGTGTTGACTGGGAAAAAAAGCATGGCCTTTTGGTCATTGCCAGAGTTCTGGCAAGGGTAATACAAGAAGAGAGAGGTACCCTCCTGAGGGGAGACACCAAATAGGAGCAAACATAAGAATGTAATTGGGCCTAGGGGCAATAAGTAGACGTAGTAGAAGGCGTCTGGAGGAATACTGCCATTCTTATGTAAATTCAGAAAAGGGCATACTGTGCCTGAGCCAAAGGAGGTCTCTTCAGGCAGAGTATTAACCAGCCATCTACATGGATTAGGTGGGAGAAAACATGTCCAGCAGGTTTTGTTATCTTGATACAGAAGTAGCAGGAAGGATGTGAAAGGATTCAAAGCCTACAAGCTATCTTCATAATTTATGAGCAAAATCTGTTGAATATAGCTGATGATGTGATATGGTGAGTCCCTTGGAGTCTCTTTTCTTGCATCTGCTGTTTCGTCCGGTGCCTTCATCGAGTTACTCCTCTTTTCTGTTATGTTGTCACATCTTAAATATGAAGGGAAATAAGTGTCACTCCTACAATGAGATAGTGACAGTGCTGAGCACGGTACAGGCAGTGCGAGGAGCACAGCAGACTTGAAGGCTGTTCTCCATTAGCTCTGCTAGGATGGCAGCACACACTGGGAGTTTAAACGTTTGCATTACTGAAGTGATTATGTATGATTTTTGGAGCTGATATGTTGACTAAGAAGGTGACAATTTTTAGGCAGACATGATAGGCCAAGTGAGTGCCTAGTGTCTCTCTAGAGTCATGTACACAGCAAAGGGGGAGGTGAAATTGCCCCTGTTACTTTTCTCACACTAGACTTATCTCTAAGACTCAAAGCTTACCTCAGAAATGAATATTTCATTACTTACTGAAAGAAGAGAGGAAACTCTGTCTAAGGTACATCACCATTTCTGTCCCCTGCTATTTTGTACTGGAACCAATACTCTCATCTTTCAGTGACCACTGCATTGGTCTTGAGAAAGTGCAACAGTGATTTACAGTGGAGAGGCCGTTTAGCAGGGAGCTCCTCCAGAAATGCCCTACTTGAGATAAAGTTTCTATTTCTTGTAGGTCAGACAACTCCTTTCCTGGATAGACAGGCAGTCACATATCCTAGTAAGCCAGCAATGTGGGGAATGGAAGGCAGCCTTGCCTGTGGCCTCTCACATTTGGCTATCATCTGATAGAGATCCCTGTTTCCCCTTTGCCCTGCCCGAGTCAGGGGCATTCTGTGCAAAGGATGACTAAGGGTTTCTTCACCCAGCTACTGCCGTACCATCACTGCCTCCACACAGCACACTTCCCGCACAGGAAATCTGCCCAGCATGTGTACTTTATAATAGAAGCACCATATGTATTGTTTCTACTACTGTTATGTGCCACATTCTTTATAAAACTTCTGCATACCAAACAGCTATCTGCTGGTACTGTAGGAAAGGCTAGTTATACTGTTTATTAGAAAGATTGCTTGAGACTTATAAATTAGAATTTATACATTTATAAATTTATTATAAGTTGCATATGATCTTGACAAATACTCACAGTTCAAACTGGTTTTTCATCCTGTATTTCTTTCCTCAGGCTAAATGTTGCTATTGTAAAATGGTTCATCTGTTCTGCGAACAAGACTGGGGAAAATCGCATTGTTTTATCCATGTTACAATAATTCTGTTGTTTGGAAAGCTGTTTTCCTCTCTCCTTCACCTTAGCACCCAGTTATCTGAGTCATGCCCTCTGCAGGCCCCATGGAAACCCTTTCCAGTAGGGCTACTGTAGCAGAATCCCAGGTCTCCTGTGTTCACAGGGGATTTATGCAGGTAAATGTCCCCACAGCTCTGAGGCAGAGCCTGAGCCTGCAGCAAGCCCCGTGGCTATAGCCTAGCGGTTCATTTTGGGTCCAGACTCAGGCCCCCCTACTGGGAGCAGCTGGCCTGCAAGGGGAAGCCTCCCAGATTGAATACAGAAGCAGAGTCTTATTTTCTAAATCGACTACTTAATTTCTCACAAGTAATGAAGTGTTTTAATGCATATGGGTCTACTATTTACCGTCTTCCGCCGTGACTGCTTACTATGTCCCCTTTTTGTTTCCGTTTCTGTGAAACGGTGTCATTAAATTTATCCACTTTAGCAAAGTAAGTGGAGACATCTACAAATAAAGCACTGTGAATCATCATCGTTGGTTTCTTTTATCTTAAATGGTAACAACGCATGAGCTTTTTGGAAGCTCTCTTAATCTGTTTAGCATTTTGTAATTTGGTGACATTCTAAGTGATTTTTTTTTTTTTTTTAAGCCAATGACTAATGATTGCACAGTAAGGCCAGATCCTCATGATACTTCTGGAGGTAGTAGGCCTCCATCACCCCCACTACTAGGATAATTATAAAAGTCAGATACTGAGCCGCCCAACAAGAATAACTGTAACCCATCTACCAGAGAGAGTCCCTAGCCAGCCTGTCCTCAGTCCGGCTGTAAAAGTTGGGCAAATTCCTAACACAAGGCTTTGAAGATTATTAGACCCCTTTTTCTAACTCTGCTCTTCCTCCCCCGACACACGTACGCACACTCGCATCCTCCTCCAGGCTCTGACAGGCTTGTCAGAGGGAGAGAGTTGCACAAGCAGAGCCCTTCACTGGTGGGAGAGATTCAGCTGTCAGCCCCGCACTCTTTTCTGGAGCTGACAGCAAGAGTGTCTAGCTCAACAAAAGGCATAATGCGCTAGAGGTTATCAGCAGATGGAATAAAAGCCTTTAAACTTCTGCCAAATGATGCTTCCAGTGCATACCCTTTGAATAGCCGCTCACTTTTGGATCCATCTGCTCAGTTTGTGTCTGAATCCTTTGTGTGCACGGAAAGGTTCTCGCATGCAGCCCTGCTGCCAGCTACCTGCCCAAATCTGCTCTAAAATGGATGATGGTGTAGGGGGTGCTCAGCCACTGGTCACGTGCAACCACCTTCACAGGGAGGTGAAGCAAAGTAAAGTAACCATACTGTCAGGGGAGCAGCTTCAAAAGCAGGAGACCTATTAGCGCTCTGCCAAGGGCACCGATCCTCAAAGGAGCAGGGAGCCCTCTCATGACAGTGACCATGTAGGAAAGTGGTCAGTATTTGTTACCTGATGCTTAGACCTTTACAAGATCCGAAGAACCACAGCACTCTGGTATGTGCTTTCCCTTTTTCACAGCCCTATCTCACCTACGTAACTTCCTTTCTGCCCAGTCAGCAACAACCTCTCGTCTGCCACTGCTTTGCTCTGCACCAAAACTGAAACACACGGGTTTAAAATGCTAAAGAACTGAAGTGATGTTGTTTCTCTGTCAGACAATGAGAAGTATGATAAGAGATTCATTTTCACTTACCAAAGATTAGATTACCCAACTTGCTTAAAGATTATCAGATCAAAATCCAACATATCTGATGGTGTGTTTCCCCACCCCTTCCCACTGTGACCTTTTAATGTACTGCAAACTGCTGAGAAAGTTATTTTAAATGTCTTCGGTGGTTTATGGTAGGGGTTTGTGGTACCTCTGCATCACACAGCCTTTCATTAAAATGGCAAGGAACGACTCAGATTGTCAGAGGAGTTTTTGCTTTTCAGTTTCTGGGATTTAGGGGATTGCAATAGGGAATTTGCATTGCTGCTGTTACCTATGGGATTATCGATAGACTATATGGTAGAGTAAATAAGCCTAAAAAAGAAAAGCAATAGAAAGAAGATTATGGATTCCCTAAAAACTCTGCCAAGATGTTGAATACTGGCCATCATAGTCAGCTCTTGCCATGCTGTTCCTGAGGAGGGGCTGTTCTGTTGCAGGTTGCAGAGTGCTTGCTGGCTGAGCTCACTGCTGCTCACTGTCTTCTCTTTCTTTTATGCAGGATGGAGGATGCAGCTGCCCAGGAGATGTCGCTAAAGCATTTGGTAAGGACAACACGTAGGGCCATGGTTATTCCCAACATAAGTCCAGCATACGCAGCGGTGATGCAGGAGCCAAGTTGACCCTGAATGTGTAATCACCAGTAGGTTACAGTTGTCCCTGTGGCCAGCTCCACTGAAATTAATACACCAAATATAAATTTGCTCTTTGTCTGATTTGCACAGTCCAAATTCTACAGAGCAAGATCATACCCTGGTCAAAGTCCCATTTAGAAACTGTCTATCTGCCAGGTGTGCATGAGACAGGCTTTCTGATACAGCCACTGGGACAGTAATACAAAGAAAACTGATAAGGATTTCTTCTGAGGAGGGTTCAAGGATGACTGCAGCATTGCAAGATCTGGCTGACCTGGGCCCTGGGTGGACAAAGAGAGGGTGGAATGTGTGTTGGACACAGTAACAAAGCAAAAAGGCAGGCCAGATCCCAGGAGATGTTCTTAGGATCAGCTATCCACTTGAAGATCTGCCATTTTATTTGTACTGTATTCCCTAGAGCTGAGCGGATGACTAAAGCATCCAAGTTAATAATTAACAGATTTTGCTCTCATGCCAATAGCTTTAGTAAGTTGCACCAGCTTTTACTGATAGAACAGAGCAGTTAACCTGTGAGTGTTTTCTGCTGGGCATGACAGTTACATCAGTTGGGGACGAGGGAGGTTATGGTTGTCACTTCGCCATAACCTTGCTGCTCTCTCTGTGAATCGGGCTGAATGCACTCAGCACTGGACTGACAAGACAATTAAAGACACGCTCCTTTCCCCCAAAACACCGGTCCATTTGGAGATGTCTCAATGTGGAAGTGCCTGGAATACAGTAGGACAGCACAGCCTCACATTGGTATTTCAGGGTGATACGATACAAGAGATAGCGCATTATGATCAAGCACGTTTGCTTGGCAGGAAGCTTTGCAAGGCTGGAAAGCAGGGACAGGCCCAAAGTGAGATGACATCCCTGCCAGCAAAAACTTTCGTGCTGGAAAGGTTGAAACCAAAACCTGTCTTCTGAGTTTGCAGACACCTCTTGTTTTTAAGTCAGAAGACAACGAAGACTTAATGAGAGAATTTTAAGCACAGCCCTGGGGTGATGGCTACCAGCAAGGAATTTGCTCTCTCCCCAGGTTTCACAGGACCCTCGCGTTACCCCATGGGTGATGTGAAATAGGGAGAGATGCTTCCAGATGGGTGATTCTTACATAGCTGAATACCAGCACCCACCCTCTCCAACAAGATTATATTAAAAAAAAAACTACCCAACCTCTCCTCACCCCATCCCACCCTGACATCATGCTGTCTGCAGTGAGGCTTTTGTTCTGCTTGGCTTTCTCTGGTTCCCCGGCTTGTCCCAGTTGTTGCCAGAGTCATCAGGCTGTTGCAAGCGGGATTATGGCCTTGCTGCAATCCAGGCTGCTGCAGCAGAAACCTGGCCGGTGGAAAAGGTCTTATTTCAACAAGAGCATTTCCAGAATTTAAAATAACAGGAAACAACTTCAAAGTCCTTAAATTGTTGTCCTTTACAATGTTTATAGCCAGTCTGAAGGGTCCCTTTAATCTTTTGGGGCCACACTGAGCAGAAACTTGTCCAAAACCTGTGGAAAGGCAGGTTCCATTCAGGAAGGCCTGAATGTCATTCAGGCCTTCAGCTCACTAGCCAGGCCATGCTGGAATTCGCAGTGGAACCTGTTTGAAGGCTACCACAGATTGTCTCTGGCAGAGGAGTATTGGGTAAAAGCTAAGATTATATAGGCAGTAGTCTCACACTGACAGTAGACTAGAGAGAATAGCCCAACCTATCTGTCACAGATACGGGATCGGAACTGATAGAGATTACCCTGAGGCAGTAGACAGCCATATCTGGTTATGTATCATTGAGCTAACCAGTCTCTGGGAACCTGACTAGATAGAGCCAGGTGTGCCATCCAAGGTGGATGGCAAAATAAACTTCTAGATGACGTTATTATTATTGTCAGTGTTTATTGAATGCTATTGAGGGGATGGGCTGTGTGAGCTATGCAAAAAGATGCCTCCATGCCCAGCATTTACAAGCCAAAGCCCTGGCTTTGTGCTAGCTTGTGCTGAGAGCTTCTTGGGGGAGAGGAGTCACATAAATATATTGGAAATCAGGGACTGAGGACACAGCCATTTAGCCTGGAGTTGGAGGCCTAGGCAAGGCATGGAGAAGAGACCTGAGGAAGGCTTTCCCTTAACATGTGATTACACTATCTCTTTTTAGTGGACCATTGTTAAAAGTCTGCATGAAAGCCATGTTAAGGGGTTCATTATAAAGCAGTGATAAGGTAGTCATTTGGATCATAAAAAATGAGGAAGTTCCAGATGTGAAAGCTGGCAATGAAAAATGACTAAAGATGTGACAGGAGGAGAAAAGTTGGCAGCATCAGATGGGGCTGCAGGGTAGAATGGATTGAGTGCAACTAAAGAGCTGTAAAGAACCTTGAAGGTGCTGAGAAGTTTTACATGTGAAAGGTGAGGCTCAGCCCTTGACTGATGTCAGCAAACAGAGGTAGGCTGGGCATGCTTGGGGGGGGGGGGGGGGGGGGGGGGGGGGCGGGGAACAAGGTAGAAGACTAGTAAAGCAGACATCACAATAGAGAAACACTGGAGTTGGGGAAGCAAAAATGCTGGGAGTTACAGAGACTTTGGGAGAGACTGCTGGAACACAGGAATTGCTGGCTGGGAGCATCTGGATTTGGGAAACTGAGGATGACACTACCATTGGGTGTTGGAGATGATAATGGAAAAGCTATACATCAATCAGGAAGAAGAGGTGTTCTGATGCAGGAACGAAAGAGCATGCATGAAGAACTTTATGTAGGCCTCTTAGACGGTTCACATAACTGCACCCTTGAAAAGGCTGATAACATGAATACATTTCTCAGAATGCCCCAGAGAGGCACTAGTGTCTCCTTTTTTAAAGATGAGAAGTCAAAGCACAGAAATACTAAGTTCAGTTATCTGAGGTCACATATATTTATATGACACAGCCAGGAACAGAATGTGCCATTTGAATCCTATGCCAGCGTCTTAAACGCAAAACTGCTCTTGCTTACAGCAGTGGTGAGAAGAGATACAAGAGCAGGGAAGGAAAAGGAAGGAAAAGTCAGTTGTAAAAGTCAATCATCGGGAACATACACTAGTTCCAAAACATACCTGATAGATCATAGTGGCTTCTTTCCTGTTTTCCATAGCTGTGTATGTAATACCTACTGATGTGAAGGCTCACTGGCTCAGGCAGAGCACAGGTGAATGTTGCTTCCAGAGCCAGTAGGGGTCCAGGCACGATTACACTGCATCTACCTGGAGGGCTGCCAGAGCTGTGAATCGTGACTAACTCCAGCCAGCTGTGTGTGGAGCCAGTCTGGTTATCTTCTACTTGCATTATCAGGCACACAAAAGACATCTGAGGCACTCCAAGCCTATCCAGCAAACTTATATGAGTACTACAGGATTGGGCTGGCTTCAGGCCACAGGTTCTGTAATAACTTGAAGGATGTGAGATGTCAGTGGGCAAAACCAGGACAGGTGCAGTGCAGGGCCCAAGGGAGGCATCCTCCCCAGTATCCGTGCACTGGAGAGCACAATGCAGCAATGTCCAAATGACTTTTTGTTGAAACAGGCCAAGTCTAGCAGACTCCAGGTAACCTACTGAGACACCTGTATGCAGTGTACCCCAACACATCCTGTGTTATGTGGTGGGGGTTGTTACCAGGTGTTCTCGGTCCCCTGCTACCTAAAATAATGTCATGCTACCTGTACATGAAAGTGAAGAGTACGGTTAGGTGTTGCAAGTGTCACCAGTGCTTCTGGTTAGTATAGAAAGCATACATAAGTAAGGAAAGAACATGCTAAAAACTGCAGCCTCCTAACAATGTTGGAGATTAACTGGTACAAAAGTAGCGGAACAGATTTGAAACTTTCAGACGTCATTGCAATACTGAAGCAGGGTGGAAAGTTCTAAAGAGCATTGGAAAAACATATTTAATATGGGCTTGTCATTCCTGGAGCTGCAGGGCAGTAAGTGTGTGTCACTCCAGTGTTTAGAAGTTCTGCCCAGTGTGAAGCACAACTCTGGGCTACATTTGCTGTAACCTGGCTCCTCTTCCCTAGAAAAACTGGAATTATGTTTCAGTTTGCAAACGTTACTCAAGTTGGAAGAGTTTCAATCCTGTAATTCAAACATATTTACTTTCCTCCCAAAATATACAATCAAAAGAAAAATAAGAGATACCTAAGCGTGCATGAGCCAGAATTCTGTGATTCCAAAATGTAGATTTTGTATGTGTCTAAAAATTGAGACCATGACAGTTTGGCACTAATAATTTGGAGGCTGGGGGACCTCCCACCAGAGACAGAATTAGGACTGGGGAGCATGGGGATGGTTTTGGCATGGCAAAGAGTCCAGAGCGTCCTTTGGCAGACCTTTAAGTAAGTTGTTTCAGGGCCGGCTTTGAAACGTTGACCCCGGACCCCTCCCTCCTTCTCCATGTTGTTTTCATCTACTTATGTGACAGCCATCAGCTAGATTCCCCAGGGCACTTAGTTTCTGCAAAACTGGAGCAAGATCATGCCAGGCAGCAACTGGAGCTCTCCACGAGTAACTAAGAATATTTTAAAGGATGAGCATTCCCTTCATTTTTGTATGTTAATAGTAATATCAGATGTGACTCCAATTGAGGCTTTAAATCTGGACAACTGGAATGAGAAACTCAGGAAGAATCTGCCGGGTAGCTGACAAGATAGGACACCTGAATGGGTGCCTGCCTGTAAATATTGCATGTGGTGTGCTCAGCAGTGTGGCACAAACCTCAGTTTTAATATCCCTTTTTCATGGACATACCGTGCCTTTCAAACACCAAATAGGCAAAAGGAGGTGAGGACAGAGCAGAGCAACTGGGTGCTCTGTTCCCAGGCATTGCTGCTGGGTCTGTTCTTTGGGGAAGGGGTGGGGAGGAGCTGGCTTTTCGAAATCCGTGCACACTCCACAGTTGATACGTGGTCTGAGACCAAAATATTCCTAAATTCAGGTTTGTCTCCAGAGCTTTTACAAAAATACAGCAGAAGCTATGCAGAGTTGATAGTGATTGCACTTACTGTCCAGATCTCAAGGTCCAGTGCTTTTGTTTGGTTAGTGACAGAGATGAGTGAATCCTAAATGTCAGGCTTACCTAGCCTGGGATCTCCCCAGAGCTCAGACTTGTTCAGAAGGGGTTAGTTCAGGCTCATCTGCTTTCTATGAAGTGAAGTTTATAGCCCTGTTCTTTTACCAGTTCTGGGAAGAAGCTGAGCAGAGGGGCCTGTTCTGACACATACACGTAAAAGAAGCCATCAGTTTTGGACAGGAAAATACTTTGTTTCAGGAATGAAACCTCAGGGTCAGAAAAAGATAGACCTATTTTCATATATATGCATCTGTGTACACATATGTATGTATGTATGTTTTCACATTTCCTAAGACCTCTGCACTTGATTTTTTTCCAAGAAAGGCTGGATATGCCGAAATGTCACAGTAAGAACAGCCTGTGGAATAACTCCAGCCCAGCTGGAAATACTAGACATAACAGTAGAAAACCAGGAGTGATTCCCAAAACTTCCGTGATCGCCCAGTGGGACCGAGCTCACGAGCTGCAAACCCAGGGGAGATGGACAAACTGGACAGGCATCCAGCATATTTGGGTGTTCAATATTGTTATTTAATTCCTGGATTACTGTAGCGTTTAGGAGCTGTAGCGATTGGTCAGACTGCCTCTCTGCTGCATGCTCTGTACCACATCCATCCAGAGCATTTTGTGAGGGATTACCCTGTGCTACACTGAACACCTGTGTGGCCGGTGAGATTGAAAAATCCATCATGTAGTTTAAAAATCTGCTTGGTTTTTGTCAGTATTGGGAGGAGTACATTCATTGGTGCACCTCCTTTCAGGGTATATTCCCACTCGCATCTTGTAGGCTAGAAAGCTTTTGAAGCAGAAGTTGTCCTCTTGTTTGTACAGCATCAAGCTCAACAGGTCCTTCCTACCCCTGTGATTGGGGCTCCTAAGTACTGCTATCACAGTAGGAGTTAATAGAGGAACTGTGCTCAGGTATTTTTGTGAGCTAAAGGGTTAAAACTGAATTTGAAACTTTTACAGTGCGTAAGGTAGAGTAGAATAATGATCTACATCTTTGACATAACAACAGGAAAGGATTCTTAGCATTGAAAGTATCAGAGAAATATAATTTGGCATGTCTCAGTTCTTCAGTAAAGCATTTCTTCCAAGTTTGCTGCATCCATTGCAGGAGAGGACTCTCTGTACTGAGGTATTCAGGGCTGGCTATTGTTTTTGGAAGCCACTGTGTTCTTGCTTTGTCTTTCACCTTCTTCTGCCCTCCTTATCTGTCACTCTCTGATGATCACAGGAGCTGGTGCTGATTTCGTCATGCTTGGAGGAATGTTTGCAGGCCACGACCAGTGCGCTGGAGAGATTATGGAAAAAAATGGCAAGAAGGTGAAACTCTTCTACGGGATGAGCTCTGATACGGCCATGAGGAAGTATGCAGGAGGGGTTGCTGAATACAGGTATGAATCCTCACAGGAGCAATTGCAGTGAGCCATCCAGTAACTTCTGGAGCTAAATTTTGCAAACAGTATATGTTGCAAACAGGCTCATGTCTCTATTCTCATTTAGGATGTGTTAACAAGCAGTTATGGCAGCAGACCTGAGGGAAGGATGCCATTAAGCGGAGGCCATGAGAAGGAGCTGGGGGTGGATAGCCAAGAGCAGCCCTGTTTACTCGGTTGCAGCCGGTGCAGTATGCTTTCCTTGTAGCATTAACCACCGGGTCTGGGGAGTCATTAGTCACTGTTCTGACTTCTGGGTCCCTCAGGCCGTGTCAGAGTTACCTGCTGGCGCAAGGCGCACCAAGCTGCAGTTCCTGGTCCTCTGCTTGTCCAGACTGAGTGTCTTTTTGGTGTATGGGCTACCGGTTGGCCCGCATACTCCCTTGTGTTTGCAGAGAGTGGGTTACCTTTTCTGGGTAACAGAGCAGCAGAGCAGGCATTACTGCTTCTTCCAAAATCATACAGCATGTGGGAACTTGGATTTTCAGCTAGACTCCCCAGAGGAGAATTGCAGCACCCCTGAAGGTGAAAGTACAGAATGTTAAGGCAGGTCCCTTGAAACAAAATAGGATTTACAAAACAAAATAGAGGTTCACGTCTTGACACGGAGATGTGCTGATAGAACCATGGCCAAGAAGCAGACTCTTCTTGACCTTGTGCTAGGTAGAAAGCGCCTTCGATCCCACCTTCTGCCCCACCCTCCCTGGCATTGGCTGTTCTGACGGGTTTTGTCTGATACTTCTGAGGAGGCATTTACAGCGTGCCTTAAAAATGTACCTAGTATTCAGAAAATGGTAAGGCCCAGTCTATTCCACAGCTTTTACACCTGTCTACTTTGGCCTAGACGTCCCAAGCTAGTTATTTTGCACTATTAGGTTTCAGCAGTAATGGAGATTAAGGAAGGTTAGTGGTAGGCATTATGCAGGAGAGACCTGGAAACATGAAGTCATTAGCATTCCTGGTCTGATAGAAAACCCAGTCTCATTAAAAGAGAAACCTGTATGAAGACTGGAAAACAGAGAGCTTATGGACTCTGCACTTCTCGGATAGTCTATGCCTGCTATACAGAGTCTGATTCAGTACCACTTTGTGAGGAAGACTGAGGAGGAGAAAGATATCAGTAGGCCATAGGGATGAGGGATGATAGTAGAGTGTTTTTCAAGGGCAAAAATACTTGTGCTGAGTTTTGGTAAGTTCCCAGGACATTTGTTTTTGCAAAAAAAAAAAAAGAAAGAGATTTCTTAACAGGAAAAAAAGCAACACAGTAAATACTGTAGCTTGAGAACATGTATATCCTGGCAGATTCTCAAGCCAGGATTTTTCTGCCTCTAATAGGATGAGAAGGGAAAAGGGATACCTTTGCATTCTGCAGGGGGTGGACTCAGATGTCTTTCCGGAGTGCAGCGTACCCTTTCTAGTTGACCTGAGCCCACACATCTCTTTCATGGGCTCTGATCAGAAGCTGATGAGCAGTATGCAAGGGAGTTTTTATTCTCATGTTGGCTGCGTTTGTATCAGTTTAAAAGCACTCCTATCTGCAGGATATCTAGCTACATTGAGGCCAGCCAGTGGCTTGCTTGGGGGACCACCTCATGTGGTTGGGTCTCCACCTGGTTGCCCTGCAAGACTGTTTTGGCACAGCAGGTTGCAGGCTCAGTGTCCTTTTTCTTCCAGAGCATAACTATTTCCTTGTAGAAGAAAGGGCTGTCTGTGTCTGGGACAAGCTGAAATGGTGCACCAGAAAGGCTTCCTGCCTGAATCTGAGCTTTGATTCACTCTAGGTTCATCTGTCAGTCCCCAGAAACAATCGACTTTTTTTTTGGTTCCTCCCTTCTCCCTCAGCAAATGTGCTTGGCATCAAAGCCTCTGAACGAATGCTCTGAGTGGATGGCGCTAGTAATTATCTTATAATGTAAAAGTGGCAGCTGCTAGTTACATGGAGGTGCTGGCAGCCTTTTATCTGAGCTAGGATAACTCAGTGTCCTTTGCTACCTTGTGTTTGTGTCAGCAACTGGAGCGTGGGAAAGGCCTGACGTTGTTAGGGTGCATCGTTGATGGCTGTTCCCGGGGAGAAAGAAGTGCAGCCCAGGCAAGCTGCATGGATCTCAGTGCAGCGCAGTCATTTTAGTGCCCAGCCGCTACAGAGTGGGTGAAAGCTGCAGGAAAAGTTTGAGAAACCTTCCTGTCACAGTGGGCCAAAGGACTGAGGCATCTGGTAAATTCTGCTCCACACAGGTGTGCATGTAGTCTGGAAACAAGATTCATCCCTACTAGAAGAATTAACTGACACTGGTCTTCCGTAAAAGTGAGACAAAACGCAAGTGGTAGCTGTGTCTTGTAGGAATAAAGGATGTACAGAAAAATGCTGTATTTGGCTCAGTGTAGACCCTTTAAATCCTTTATGGACACTGTACTCAAGTTCTGCTTGATCTACAGCTGTATTTTGTTTTGTATGCTGATCCTAACGAGTCCTATGGGGATCAAGTTCTTAAACCTAACCAACAACAAGGGAGCAGTAGCACAATCTGAAATTTTAAGTTCTTCTTGAGGTGTGGCTTGTTTATGCCACTGACAGGTAATGTAGCAGGTATCCCCCAGTCTGCTGTTAGCTCCGGCCATCTGATCTATACGACTTGGCTGTTAACTGTGGAGAGGCTGGTTCTCAACTTCTGTGTGTCGTAGCTACTGCTCAGGGTTCACTAAGCACACAAGCCTTGGTCTTGGTCTTGCTTGGTCTGCCCCGGCATGATCGGTATGTAGTTTAAAAATAGCAACTGTTGTTTAAAAATAGCAATTGTTAAGTTATCCAGCAGTGTAATTGTGCTGGGCACTGAAGGAGCAACTAGGAATAGGGCCAGGCTTTTCTTTTGATTATTGTGGTAGGAGAACTTACTTAGAAGTTTATTCACCTACTAGTTTAGCTCATGATGAACTGGCTCCAAAAAGGTTCTAATGCAGCCTCGTAAACGCTGGATACCCCAAACCTGTCAAGTCAGTGGGACTTGACTTAAACGCATTTAAAAAGCCCAGCTGTAAATCTCTATCAGTGATCCTAATAAGCTGTTTTATCTTTAGAAGAACCTGAGCGCCCACAGTGTTTTACTCAAGCTTTGGGGAGCTGAGTGTGCTCAGCTCTCTGCAGAATCGGGCTGCCTGTCACTTAACTTCATCTTCTCAAAATTAAACATTTTGTCTAGAGGACCTGAGCCTCCAGCAAACAGTTAAATTAAAATTGACAAGCACTGAGAGGACAGATAAGGTGAAATGACTGTAGCAGGAAATAAAGTCATGGGAGTAATTGTTTTTGTAATGAACGTGTCAAGTTGATCCCATTTAATTTTGGATGAAATCTCTGTACCCTGTAGTTCTATGTCATTTATACATTTTTACCTCCTTCAATGAGGAACACAGGTCAGAGCTGGGAATTTTCGAAAGGCAATTATTAAGATTCTTTTATGAAAAAAAAGAAATACGGCAAGCAGGAAT